GCTCTCTGGCTCTTGTCTCGCTCCTCCGTGGGCCCGGTGTCGCCTTTTGTCGGGTGTCACTTTTATCCGATGTTACTTTTTATTCGATGTCATTTGTCGGATGTCACTTTCTGTCCGATGTCACCTTTTATCGCCGTTAGTGCGCCGCCCGTCATTCTGAGCGATGGACACATACTTGTCCCCGTGATATGGTATCGCGGCGGGAATAATCCCTGCCGATACCAGGAGTACCACCAACCCCGCCGCCACCAACACCACCACCCCAACACCACCATCACCGCCGCCCCCGCCTCTCCCCCTCCCCTCCCCCCTCCCCCGGGCCCCCACCCCCGAGGAGACATCCGCCTGCTTCCCCGCCCGCACTTCCTGCTGCTTTGCTCTGCCTCTGTCGCTGCCATCCAGCCCCCGACGCCCATCCCCCTCTTTCCTCTCACGTACGCCCATCTTTCTGTCCCCTCCCCACGCCCATCTTTCTGTCGATCCCCACGCCCATCCTTCTGTCTCATCTTTCTGTCCCCTCCTCACGCCCATCTTTTTCTGTCTCATCCCCACGCCCATCTTTCTGTCTCATCCCCGCGCCCATCTTTCTGTCCCCTCCCCACGCCCATCTTTCTGTCTCATCCCCGCGCCCAATCGTCGTTTCCCTCCCCCACGCCCATCCTCGATCCTCTCTCCTACGCCCATCTTTCTCTCTCTTCCCCCCACGCCCATCCCGCGTTCCCCTCCCCCGCCCACAGCTGCCCTCGCTTCACAAGTGTGGGATTCTTTTGTGTTTTTGTCTTTTTTCCCACTTTATATCTCTTGTTGCGTTTTTCGCTTCGTTCTTCGTCTTTGTCGCCTCCTCTTTCTCTTATTTCGTTTCATCCCGCCGTTTCCTTGCGGCTCTTCACCTCACTGGCTCTTCTCTCTCTCTCTCTCTCTCTCTCTCTCTCTCTCTGCTCTCTCTCTCTCTCTCTCTCTCTCTCTCTCTCTCTCTCCCTCTCCCTCTCTCTCTCTCTCTCTCTCTCTCTCTCTCTGCTCTCTCTCTCTCCTCTCTCTCTCTCTCTCCCTCTCTCTCTCTCTCTCTCCCTCTCTCCCTCTCTCTCTCTTTCTCTCTCTCTCATTACATATACCCATCTTTTCTCTATCTGTCTCTATATATCTGCACATCACCCCCCCCCCCGCCTTTCGCTCCCTCCCTCACTCCCCGCCCTCTTTTTCAATGTTTATCTTACCCGCGCTCGCTCTCTCTCCCAACCGCAAGTGGAACACCGCCCACCGTTCTGAAAGTACCAAACGGCGCCCATCACTCAGCTGCCTTTTCATCGGGGTCGTATCTGCAGGTGCTACTTGCCCTTCATACCGGGGACTGGGGTTTGTGGGTTTGTACTTAGTGGGTACGGGGTTTGTTTGTCTGTGGGGTGGGGTGGGGGTTAGGTGTGTGGGGGGGTGGGGGGGTTAGGTATGGTGGGGGTGGGGGTTAGGTGTGTGTGTGTGTGTAGGGGTGGGGGTTAGGTGTGTGTGGGTGGGGTTAGGTGTGTGTGGGGTGGGTGTTAGGTGTGTGTGTGTGTGTGTGTAGGGTGGGGGTTAGGATTAAGTGTGTGTGGGGTCGATTGGATGTGGAGAGAAAGGGCGATTGTAAACTGTGAGAGGATAGTAGGATGGGTATGAAATAGGTGAGTTATGTTGTCTTGTTGGTGTAGAACTTGTCATGTTTCCTCTCTTTCTCTTTCTTTCCCTCTTCTTCTCTTTCTCTTTCGTACTCGATATTTCTTTTCTCTGCCTTTCTTTCCCCTCTTCTCTTCTTCCTCCTTTTCCTTCTTTTCCCTCCTTTCTTCCCCTTCCCCTCCCCTACGCCCTCTTTTCTCTTATCGTATCCCCTTTCCACTTTCCATTCTCCCTTCTCACTCTTTATTCTTCTCTCCTCTCCTCCCAGCCCTTCCCTCTCCTGTCCACTCTTCCTTGCCCCTCTCCCTCTCCTGTCCACTCTCCTTCCCTCTCCCTCTCCTGTCCACTCTCCTGCCCCTCTCCCTCTCCTGTCCACTCTCCCTTGCCCCTCTCCCTCTCCTGTCCACTCTCCCTTGCCCCTCTCCCTCTCCTGTCCACTCTCCCTTGCCCCTCTCCTTCTCCTTCCCTCCTTCGGGTTCCGACAGAGGGAAACGGAGTCCAGTTTTTACGGCCGCTGGACCCGCCTCCCGCGAGGACGCTGGGTGATCGTCCGGCCAGCAGGACAAGCGCGAGTCCCGCGGCGTGCGTACAGTTATCCGCACATTCTTCGGCGCCGATCGAGAGGCAGCCGTCGGAGGAGCAGGCGGCGGACGAACGACCTTCAGGTGTCGAGGGATTGATTCGATATGTCGAGGGATTTATTCGTTATTTGATGATCCGGTACGCGCTTGTCATTGGCTGCATCTTCCTGTTTAGTGGTCCTTTTTTATGGCATGATGAGAGGTTGTTATAACTGGTATTTTTTTCGTTTAGCCTTCGGGTGGCGCGGGAGTAATTGCACGGTGTGTATGTCATCTAACGGGTGATTTAGGAGATTAAGTTGAAAACGGAATATCCGCGTTGGGAAGGATCGTAAGACACGGAACGTGAACGAGTATTACGAACACGGATTGATGTGGAGGCCCTGCACGCTGATAGGAACGAAGGAAGATGTGTTGTGCAGATTATACACCGCATCCAAGGCATTGTTGTCGAAGCCAGCCCCCCGCCGAGCATCCAAACCCCATCGGCCTCGGGTTATCCGGCGCAGAAGAGGTGGCAGAAGAGGGAGGCTGCTTGCGACCTCTCATGGCGAGGTCCTGCTCCGGGTAGGATTGTAGGATTGCCTTAGAGGGACGGAGGGAGGTGTTTCACGCTGAGAAGAATAATGCCCTTCGAATGCCAGTGGGCGCATGGGTGGCCAATCAGGCGAATGGGGGGAGAGGGTCTGCATTCGGTGGCACACCTGCCTTCGGGTCTCGCTACGACAGGGGCTACGACAGGGGCTACGACAGGGGCTACGACAGGGGATAACGAATTGGCATAAGGCTTGTGGGATTAAGATGGAATGAGTATGGACTACAGGCTTTGGCGGGGTCGGGGCAAATACACTGTACTGTAATCAGATTAGGAAAGCAATTTACATATAATTACTGTGGAATGTTACGTGTAAACCTTAGACAGATATCTGAATATCTGGTACAAACAGATCACACATCACAACAGTTTTGTCACCCCTTAATTAGGGTGTATCTACATCTGCATATCTATCTACATCTACCGGCGTGACTTGCAAACCCAAAGATTCTCAATAAAAGTGTGACACCAAGTTTAAACCACGGGGCATAGTCACTATTGATGTTACTTTTACCGATGGCATTCTCAAGATACGATTGATGTGTGCTCTGAATGACGCATTCATGATGTGTCAGGACACACATCATCCTGTGGCATGCCAAACAGTCTGCCGTGCATGCCGTCACATCAAAGAACCTGATTACCTCCCCAGACAGTTCTTTAGAAACGCACTTCCTTGCTCGAGATACTGCCAGTCATAGGTCTCTTTGCTGTCGTATTGATTAAGGTGATTGTGGTCTGGCTTTTCTCTTGGCTGGGTTTCTGCCAGGAAGTTCGTGTCACCGGTCGCAATAGGCGGTGGCGGCAGTCTGGTGCACCGTTAGCGTTACCGGGGCGCGTCAAGATGAGTGTTAGGTTTGTGCAGCGCGGGTTGGTATAGGCCCGGTGTGCCCCACAGCCTGGGGTCACGTTGCCCGTTGTACGGTGAGTCTGCCGCCCCATGCCCCTGCTCCTGCCTCTGCCAATGCCTCTCGTTCTTGCCTCTTCTCCTGCCGTTGCCCCTGCCCTTGCTCTTGGTGCTGCCTCGCACCTTTACTACTCCTACTGCTCCTGCCACTGCCTCCTCCCCTACCCCAGACTCTGCCACCCGCCATTGCCCCTGCCGCAGCCTCATACCCCCGCCCCCGCCCCTGCCCTTCGCCAATCTTCCCCCGCCCTCATGACGCGAATTCCCTCTCGGGTTATGTTCAACCCCCCCTCCCTCTCTCTCTTTTACTTTATATCTCCGCACAAGTGGCACTGTCATGGCAGAATACTTTCCTTACGAAAACCAATATATATATATTTTATCTGCTCCATTCCGGGCATTGTGCAACCTCCTCCACCTCCTCTCGGATCTGGAAAGGGGATGAAAGTGGCCGCTGGAAGGGAGAGGTGTCGTGGACTCCCACAACGGACAGACACGATGAGACCCGAGGCAAGTACACACGGTATTGAGGGCGCCCTGACATCCTCATTCCCTTACAGCCTGGAGGTGCCAAGGGGAGGGAGGACCCCAGGATAAGTGACCCAATTAAGTGCGTGGGAGAGTCAGGAGAACGTGATTGCCTTTCTATCCAGGCCGTGTAGAAGAGGGACCAGTGGTTGTAGGGAGACAGGAACAAAAGATAGAGGCAGGAATGATCAGCATTGTGACAGCAACGAATGACAGCATTGATGGAATAATGGGTAACAATTATGATGATGGTAATAGTATTAATAGTATTCATAATCATGATAATAATATTAATAATGGTAATGCTGATAATGGTAATAACAAAAATGATTGATAATGAAAGTGAATTATAGTGACAAACAAGTTAAAGATGATAACAAAACCGTTTAAAAGCATGACACCTTGTTTTTTTGGTATGTTTAAACTTCTGGAAAAAAGTACCCACGGCTGCTGCCCCAACTATGCCAGAGCAGCACTGCCTGCGGCGCTCGTGTGGCTTCTGGTGTCGTCTTTTTCGTATTTTACAACGATGACTACGAGTTTTTTTTTTTTTTTGTTTACTGCCTCGTTACGTCATTGTGCAAAAATTGCTTGTTAGAGAGGCCTTATACTGGAGACGTTTTTTTTTTTAGTTTATGGTTCGGCGTCTGTCTGTCTGTCTTTGTTTTTTATATATATCTGTATAAGCCATATGTGCGCACTAGTCCCACCAACTAATGTTTTTTTTATTTTCTTTTCGCAGGCAAAGGTATGTTGATGACACAGTTACGAGACCGTCCGAGTTGTTCCCGTAAGTAAGATAATAATAATACCTTGGGGTAAATTGGACGTTGCTCCATGTTTTCCCTCTCCATTTCTTCACTGGTGTGGTATATATATATATATATATATATATATATATATACATATTATGTATGTATATATATGTATGTGTATGTATATACATTTATATTATACATATATGCACACACACACACATATACATATATATACTCACATATATACATATATTACACACACACACACACACACACACACACACACACACACACACACACACACACACACACACACACACACACACACACACACACACACACAAAATGTATATATGCCTATGAAATATATATATATATATATATATATATATATATATATATATATATATATATATATAATATATATATATACATACACACACACACACACACACACACACACACACACACACACACACACACACACACACACACACACACACACACACACACACACACACACACACACACACACACACACACACACACACACACACACACACACACACACACACACACACACACACACACACACACACACACACATGTATACATATATACATATACATATTGTTTGTGTCATGTTTGTTTATGTGTGCATTTAGATATGTATGCATACATACAACCATTTGTATTTATACAAACATTTATGCATATATAATTATAATATAGTAATAGTATGGAGAAAGTCGAGATCCAGTGTTAATGTATCCGCTCCCCCCCCCCCCACACACACACACACACACACCTTAGTATGCGAAGATGTGCTTTCCCATAAGACGGAAGGCGTTGGGAGAGTCCGAAGCGATCCATCTCCGACACTCGATTCTCTGGAACGTTGTTCTTTTAATTGCATTCGTGGATTAAGTTTTTTTGTGTGTGTGTCCGTTTGGGGAATAGCCGCAGGATCTTGTCTTATTGAAAAGATGGCGAGCGGACGGATGGAGTTCGTATTGATTGTCACAAACAAAGTGAATGTTAACCTCAGGATCTTATTGAAAGATGGCGAGCGGACAGATCGAGTTCGTATTGATTGTCACAAACAAAGTGAATGTTAACCTCAGGATCTTATTGGAAAGATGGCGAGCGGACGAGTTCGTATTGATTGTCACAAACAAAGTGAATGTTAACCTCAGGATCTTATTGAAAGATGGCGAGCGGACAGATCGAGTTCGTATTGATTGTCACAAACAAAGTGAATGTTAGCGCTGATTGACGGCGGGAGCCCAGCGGAGGAGCGGGGGAGAAAGGCGGAGGCAGTGTGGGCCGGAGAGGTCAACCCAGAAGAACCTGTCTGAAGAACCTCGTTTGAACCTTATTGGCGCGGGCGGGCTTCTTCTGGATTAGGGATGGGACCTCGAGCACGCCCAAGTCTGTGTATGGGCGGGGTTTAGGATGCAGTGTCCAGCGCGATTTGAGTAGTGGATGTCTTTGGTGAAGGGTTGAGGAGGATGGGCATGGAAGGTGTGGGCTTATTTTCAATCCATTTTAAGAAAGATGGGGGCGTTGGTGTGGGTGGGCGTAAATGCACGCGTGTATATGCACTGTATGTGGATTTATGTATATATATGTATGTGCGTGCGTATTTGCATGCGTGCCCCAGATAGATAGAAAACGCTCGCTTGAAGGGCAGACTACGATGGTACAATTCCCCTAGCGAGCCATGTGCATTAAGCAATCCGCTTTGTCAGAGCCACTTTCAAGCCTCGTAATTGCGGAAAACGTTTCGGATTTGAGTGTGAAAGGGAACTGTGATCATCATCTTAAGATTATCTGTTACTCTTAGAAAAATGTTTGCCTTTCTTGCGCGTCATTTCATGATGACAGTAAAACACAATTGTCGTCAAGAGAGGATTTTTTTTTAGCGTGGTTAGCATTATCGCGTCCAGATTTTATTGAAACGTGCAGTGTAGATTTCACCGCCGGGGTAGATAGGGATCCGAAAGTAAACATTTAGTCATTCAATTGTGCAATCGTCCAGATGTTGCGTTGGATGGAAGAAACGGCGAGAGCACGTGGAATCCATCGCCGGAAACGTTTTTAAGAGTGGAGGATTTCTTATATTCGCCATAATGGGATTTGTCATCATAACACCAGGATTGCTTAACGTGCATGCTATCTCTAACGGACGCTAAGGCAAAGTAATGAGGTGTTACGGAATGCAGAGACCGCCATTTTGTGCGATCGTGGAAACAACCGATTGAGATGCAGGAATACAAGAGACGTTTGTACCCCTTAAAAAGAAAAGGAAAAAGAGATAACTAAATGAAAGACGAATTTTCTGTTTTTAGAAACGAACGGTACACTGAAATAAGAATGAGCCACGTGACTTAGAGGACCAGCCTCATGGCCCGCTCGGCACACACGTCAAAATCCGAAGCGCCTCGTAGTGTGCGTGGGCAGTCGTCGGGGAAAGTGTCCCTCGGCTTATCGGGGTTCGGACGGCCGTGCAGGTGTTATTGGCCGCGTGTTTACGGGGGCCGAGAGTCGAAACGAGGCTGAGGATGTTTCGTCGGGTTCGCGCGCTCCCGCCGGCGAAAGACACCTATCCAGTGTCCCATTTCCCGCTGCGCTCTCGCCTTTCTTTTGTTTTTGTTTTGTTTACGTGGCGTTGTTTTCGCGCCGGGGATTTAGAATTTTAATCTCTATTGCTGAATGATATCGTTAAAGAGTTGAAGAACCTGACTCGTGTTTGTTATTGTTAAAGTCGACAAGGTGTTCACACGTAGGCAGGAAAGTATGGACAAACATGTGGCAACAACGAGCTACCGTTACCTGACTGACTTCGTAATTTAGTATAAGGCGCCGACTCGCCCGCTCAGGTGTTCTTGTTACCGACTCTGGTCTTGGGGCTCCCTCTTTCCCCCTCGCTCGCCCCAATTCATTTCCTGAGTTTGCAAAACGCCAAAGTTTGCCCAAATTGCCCTCGTCTGGAAGGAACTGATGTTCGTCGTGTGTGATGATACCTCTTTTTTTTTAAGATTTTTTTTTTAAAGCTGTTTTCCTTCCAGATTTAAATTGCTTTCCACGGGACACGAGGCGAATTATAGGAGTACATTGACAACGTTTGATCTATTTACAGAAAGTCAACACAGTCAACACAGCCGCTCTAGGGCGTCGTTGCTCGTAATAAATCTAGCATGCTCTAATACGCCGTCTTCCCCCCCCCCCCCCCTTCACTACACACACAAACCAACGCGGGGAGTTTCTGGGTGTTATGTTTAGAAAAGGAGGCGGTCTCTTCACCCGTAATTAGACCGAAATGGGGATAAATTGGGTGAATGTGCAACTGGAGAAAGGTCTTGGGAGAGGGGAATGATGTGAAGGATGAGATGTTTGGCGATTCGTGTTTCAGCGAGATTATCGGATAGATAAGACAAATTGGGGAGGAAAGGGAGGTTTGAAGAAATGGGGGGGGATTTAAACAGAATGGGAGAGAATGGGGCAAGAAAGCATATTCCGAGGATGGGATGAAAGGGAGTTTATTATTGCACGAAAAGGGAATCTACCGGGAAAATAGCAGAGAATAGAATTGCCATCATTGATAAGCACACGTGACGTCAGAGCACGGCGAAAATAAACGGTCATTTGACGATTCAACGCGGTGGCGGGAGAGCGGCGTGGAGGAGCGAGCGAGCGAGGGAGGGTTGGGGGAGAGCGCTGGCTTCCAAAAGTTGAGTGAGGTGCAGTGTTCGTGAGGGCTGCAGCATGCGGCATGAAGGAGCAGCATCCCTTTAGCGTGGAGTACTGACCTCCTGGACAACAGCATACCACAGACCTCCTCCACTCTCCCTCCCCCACCCCCGTGAACCTCCTCCTCCTCCTCCTCTCTCCTCCCCTCGCCGTTAGTTTTTGTGTCTGCTCTAGATAAATGGGCTCTAGTTGCGCTCTTGGCCACGATGAGCATTAATGTTCGTCCACATCGCGCATCCCACTGAAGTGTCGATGCTCGCTACATTTGTTATTTTTTTCTATTGAGGCAAGGTCGTTATGCTATGATCGGGGCCCGGCGACGTTACGCTCCGGACGGGGCCCCTCGTCACGGTGGCTCATGAGCTGGGTGGGGGAGGGCGAAGGGAGAGAGTGGAGGGGGAGGGGCGAAGGGAGAGGGTGGGAGGGGTGAGAGCCCGAAGGAAGATGGTGGAGGGGGGGAGGGAGAGCGAAGGGAGAGGGGGGGAGGGGGGTGAAGGGCTAGATTGAGGAGAAGGTTGGAAGGAGAGGAGAAGAGAAGAGCGAAGAGAGACGGTAAGATGGGGAGGGAAAAAGGGGCGAAGGGAGATGACGAGATGGGGAGGGGGGGAGGAAAGAAAGAAAAGGAGGAAAGGGGGAGAGGGAGAGGGGAGAGGGGAGCGTTGATTCTAGGGAAGATCTGCTCCTCGTGCGAGACCTCATTCCATCTGGCCAGCTTCATCCCGTCGCATGGGGTGACAAGGCGTCGGGCGGCGTTTCACAACAACGAAAGTGTGATTGCGTTAAGCTTTCCCGTAACGCGGAGTCACAGTCGGACGTGGGAGTGTGTGGCGCCGTGACGTCACGAGGGAAGCCCGATCAGACATCCTGGTGTGGGTGTGAGTGTATTGTGTATTGTGTATGGGTGTGAGTATGGTGTGGGTGGGTATGTGTATCTTGTGTGTGTGTGTTTGAGTGTGGGTGTGTGGTTTGTGTATGTGTGTGTGTGTGTGTGTGTGTGTGTGTGTGTGTGTGTGTGTGTGTGTGTGTGTGTGTGTGTTTGTGTGTGTGTGCGTGTGTGAGAGTGTGAGTGTGAGTGTAAATGCGCGCATATGCTCGTGGGCAGTCCGAACGTAGGTGTGGATATTGATGTGGATACCGATGCAATTGCAACTGCGCGGGTGTGCAAGAGCAGTTTTTGCGTTTCTCTCCCAATCTATCCTTGTACCTGGTGTATCATGGACGTTTATGTAAAAATATA